GAATAGATCATATTTACTGAGAGGCACAATTAAGAACTATAAATTATTCAGTGCTACTTCAGTTGTCTCCACTGTTTCTTAATAAAGGATTTGGAAAAGTGAAGAAAAAATTATACACTAATGAAACTCTGTAGATGAATCTGTCTTTCAAAATAAACCCACTCAAATGACAAAAGGATGCCTTGAAGACAAATATTGTTTCTTCTGAAATACAAGTCGTAGATTTGTGTACTACTTATTTTATTTAATTGCATTATACTTTTGTTTATCTAATTGTGAACAAATGTATAGATAAGAGGTGGTTGGATCATCAGTCTCAGAGGATAACGGTTAGGGGTGGGCCGTACTCTACCTGGAGGTTAGTATGAAGTGCAGTACCACGTGTTTATCCTGGGATTTGTCTCATTAACACCTTATCAATGATCTGAAAGGTGATGGGAGTGAGTGCACACTCGTCAGGTTTGCAGCTGACATGAAACTGAATTGGTTCAGGGTGGGAAGAACAGTTGATACCTTAGAGGGCAGAACTGCCATCCAGCAGGACCTAGGGAGACTGGAGCAATGAACCAACAGTAACTTGATAGAATTCTGCAAGGATAAATGCCTAATGCTGCACTTGGGAAGGCATAACTACTTGCCCTCAGGGGCTGGGTAGCAACCCTGCTGAAAGGAACCTGGGGTTCTTGGCAGAGAGTAAGCTGAACATGAGCCAAACATGTGCCTTTGCAGCAAGCAAGGCTAACAGCATCCTGGGTGATATTAACAGGAGCATAATGAGTAGATAAAGGAAGTGATCAGCTTTCATTAGACCCAAACTGCAATACTGTATTCAGTTTTGGGCTTTCCGGTACAAGAAAGATAGTGATAAATTATAGCAGATTCAGTGTGGGGCTACTGGGATCAGGAGTCTGGAGTGTGTGCCCTGTGAGGAGAGACTTGAGGGATCTGGGCCTGTTCAGCCTTGAGAAGAGAGAGCTTCAGTGGGATGTAATAGCCTTCTATTACCTGTGTATTATAAAGACAATGGAGCCAGGCTCCTTACAGTTGTGAGGGAGCAAGATACAATCAGCTTCAGCTGAGACAAAAGAGGTACAAACTGAATACAGGATTTTTTTTGTTTTGTTTTTTTGTTGTATTGTTTTTTTCTCCACACAGACATTGTGAAGCTTCAATCTTTGGTGGTTTTCAAGTACCGGCTGGATGAAGCTCTGAGCAACATGATATAGTCTTATAGCTGACCATGGTTTCCACAGGAGGCTGGACTAGAGAACCTCCTGAGGTCCCTTCCTATTTGAATTCTTCTGTGATTCTATGAAAGCAATCATGGATGTTTTATTTTGTAGCAGTATGCAAGTATTTACCAGTTAACAGAAAGACAATAGACATTTATGTTGTGGAGGTACTTTTGATCCTGGGATTTCCCAATTTGTTTATTTTTGATGCATCTCATGGGGTTTTTTCAGATATGATTGATTGTGATCAGTGTAAGTTAAGAACACTTCAGGTCCTGTTTTCTTACATCTCAATTTGAAGTTTGAATATTCTGTTGTTTAGCCACATTTGGTTTTTGGTCACACATCGCCTGTGAACTTGGAAGAATATCATAGAATCATAGAATAGTTTGGGTTGGAAGGGACCTTAAAGATAATGTAATTCCAACCCCCCTGCCATGGGCAGGGACGCCTTCCACCAGACCAGCTTGCTTCAAGCCCAGTCCAACCTGGCCTTGAACACTTCCAGGGATGTGGGGCATCCACAACTTCTCTGGGCAACCTGTTCCAGTGTCTCGCTGTCCTCACAGTAAAAAATTTCTTCCTAATGTCTAATATAAACCTATCCTCTTTGAGTTTAAAGCCATTCCCTCTCATCCTATCACTACACGCCCTTGTAAAAAGTCCCTCTCCAGCTTTCTTGTAGGTCTCTTAGGTACTGGAAGGTGCTATAAGGTCTCTCTGGAGCCTTTTCTTCTCCAGACTGAGCATCCCCACCTCTTTCAGCCTGTTTTCATAGGAGAGGTGCTCCAAATTATCTTCATGGCCCTCCTCTGGACTTGCTTCAACAGGTCCACATCCTTATGTTGAGGGCCCCAAATCTGGATGCAGTACTCCAGGTGGGGTCTCATGAGAGCAGAGTAGAGGGGGAGAATCACCTGCCCTGACCTGTTGTGTACTCGAATTTCAGAAATGTGCTTTTTCATATGTTTAGCCTCTACGCCGTCCTGACTCCTCTGATGACCACTATGTGATGACCAAACATGCAGCTATATATCCAACAGAGGAGGAACTTCAAGCAGTCCAAAAAATTGTTTCTATTACTGAGCGTGCTTTGAAACTTGTTTCTGACAATATGACTGACCATGGAAAAAGCAAGAGCAAAAAGGGAGATGACAAAAAAGATGGTAGTAAAGACAGGTACTTTTTTCCTTATTATTTTTTAAGAATTGTATGACTTGTTTCTGAAGTCATTTTATGCTTTTCCTTGTACTGTTATCAGTGCTTTCAGGAATTCTGTTCCCTTTGGGTTTTGATATGGCATGTCACTGTGGCCTCAAGAGTACATTGAATGCTCCTATTTTATTTAATTTTTCTATCTTCAGGTTTAGTTTCATGGGTTTTATGTTATTTTAAATGCATCTTTTAACTATAATTCACAGAGCTTTGAAAGGAGTTTTACGTGTGGGCGTTTTGGCTAAAGGTTTGTTACTCCGTGGAGACCGAAATGTCAGTCTTGTTTTGTTATGTGCTGAGAAGCCTTCAAAGATGTTACTCAGTTGTATTGCTGAAAGTCTTCCCAAACAACTTGCAGTAAGTAGTATTTAGATTTTTGGATTTGGATTTTGATAAAGATACTGTGTAAAAGCCTGTCCCCAATCAAATGTCTGTAGGGTTGACTGCTGCATTTCATAGCTTGGGTTCAGTTTCTTTTCATTTTATGAGTGTTTCTGTCTGAATTCAGGGTCTATGCTGCATGGTTTGCTTTCTGTATATTGTGTCTATACAAGTATCTAGGCGCTTATGTGTAGTATGAATCATCATTTAATAGATTTCATTTAACTGGGAAATAGAAATAAGCAGAAGAAAGACTATTATCCAGTTACCAGCAGCGATAGTGGTAATTTGTGCGGTGTTACAGGAAGCTTGCATTGCCTGAACGTCAAAGATCTCCATTAATGCCAGTCTGTTTGTACTTGTCTTGTTTCCAGTTTGTGTGTGTCAGTGCTTTGTAGTCCCATGATTAGTTAACTAAGTCTTGTGTGTTTTTGTTGGGGTTCTTTTTGCGCCAAATTAAAAAGTCTTAAAAAAAGGCATGCAGTCTTAAACCATTCAACAAAATTCATATAAATCATTTTCTGTGTTTCTGCAAGAAATGAAAGTACAGAATAAATTTTTTTAGCTCCAGTGCTTTCTACTGAACAAAGCCTGTCTACCATCATTATAGAATGCTTGTCACAGCATTAGTATTTCAATACAGTCTGGTAAAATTCTCAACAGAATCAGTGGCATGGTAGAAACATTAGCAGGATCAGATTAATTAGAAAATAGTCTTGGGTTTGCTCTTGTTTGAAATAACAGTACAGAGGAAAGCTTAAAAATTGCACATCTTGGTCCGGCTTTGTGGAGAATGCACTTGTCTTTCTAGTTCATGGAAGAAGGGGGTAGAGGTGTCCACAGCTTTATTTTGGGGCTGTTTAGAGTTACCAAATCTAGTTGCAAGAAGCAATTCTGAGTAACCACCTTGTTACCCTTACTTTTTTTTCCCCTCTGGTGTTAATCTTGCCTTTTGCTCTCATCAGAGGATGTTGTGACAGCCAAGTATAGAATGTGACTTGCAGTACCCATCCTGTAACTGTGAGCTTGAAGAACCTCCACTGCATCTGCTTTTTAAATGCTCCTATGTTCCAATGAGAAAAATATCCAATTGGAATTTTAAGTGGCACTGAGACTTTTCTTTATCTCAAATGCTGTCAAGATTCTTATGTAATTTGCTTCGTATATGAATTTCACTTATGGGTAGGATGGGTTTTTTTTGCTTTTGCATGCTTGGCAATTGCTGTGTGTTTTCATTAATGATTTGGAAAACAGTATGCAAGTCCATATATATATCTTAATTGTGTATACTGTTGTTTCTTTGAATATAGAGGTATCTGCTTCATATAATTATATTGCATTTCTGTATTTCTGTTGAAAAAGACTATATTGAAATCCATTTTCTTCCCCATACTTTTCTTGGCCACATGCTAATAGAAATTTCTGTTTCTTGATATTTAGGTAATAAGTCCTGAGAAATATGATATCAAGTGTGCAGTCCCAGAAGCAGCAATAATTTTAAATTCATGTGTGGAACCCAAAATGCAAGTTACTATCACACTGACATCTCCAGTCATTCGGGAGGAGAACATGAGGGATGGAGGTTGGGAAGTTGTTCAAGATGTTACTTCTATCTATTTTGCTTAAGATGTCATTAAAGTCCAGGAAAGCAACATGCTGGCATAACTAATGTATTTGATTAAAACCTTGGTTTTCAACAAGCAGTCTTGGTAGAGAACAATTAGTTATAATAAATGCTTATATGATGCATTTAATTTTAAAAAATTCTAACTTAAAGTCCGACCTCAGCTTTCTGGAAAAGATACACACTTGATTTTTTTCTCCCCCTCTTATAAAATCATGTGGAAAACTAAGTATTTTATAGTAAGTGGGTATAAACTGGCTTTCTAGTACAGTCTTGCCCTGAAAGAAACATTGTATGGTTTTAGAAAAATCACATGTTCTCAGGTTTAAGGTGGATCAATATTACCATCATTTACACATTCCAAATAGCAGCACCACTTAAAATGCACTTTTATATTACTTTAGATGGTAACAGTGCTTATAACTTTAAAGGACAATGCAATTTTTTTCCAGCTCTCTGAGGTTGCATTTTGGTCTGGAGTGCTTTTTGAGTATATTTAGGCTCCTGATATTGCAATCAGTTTTCTATCCAACTGGCAAACTCAGACTAGTAGAATAAGAAATGGCTTTGTTGTTTCAGCTATAGCATGAAAGTGGAGTTTGTAACTAAAATTACATTTCTGAAGTTCACAGTTTTTCTGGTACTAGCAATGTTGCTTTAGGGTCTGTTCTGTAATGCTTTCAAAGCTCTTAAAAGCTTTTTAAGCCAACAAGCATGATTAATGTCTGCAGTACATTGGCTCTTTTTGTTTATGGGTCAGATAAAATTAGCTTTTGTTTCCTTTTAATCCTGTATTTTCATAGTTGAAAGAGATCATGGCAAACAGGGTTCTGGTGTTTGACAGTGAACCTATGGATAGGAAATCTGAGGCTATCTTAACACTTCTATGCAGGTTAAAAAAAATTGTATGTGTGTATGTATACATGTGCTTGTGTATATATGTATTTATATAAGCCACAGAGACTTTTTTATTTCATCTTATCATTACATGTCCTCTAAATTACTTGAGATTTTTATATTGCATTAGTAAATGTTCTGTAGCTATGACTAATGCATTGTAAGCAAGCTGTGTTAACAAAGTCATCCTACATAATCAGAAAGAAAAATGTCAAGATAATTCTTTTGTTTAGATGACTTCTGAAGAGTCTTAAAGAGTGTTTTGTACATGATTTTTGAGCTGTACATATTATTCCTAGCTATAAAGTCTTTGTACATGTACTGTCACACCCGACCAATTCTACTTGTTTTTTGAAAATCTGTGTAAAATGACTCTTAATTTGTCTGTGCTGAATCAGACTTCATGTATTAAAGTTCATAAAGAATACTTTAAAATAATTGATTATTAAATTGCATTAAATATTAAATGAAATTAACCTTAAAAACTAGTTTGTTTATTAACGTAGTGTGAAAAAGTGCAATATTGGTCCTTCCACAATACTAAATTTCCTTTTTCTGGCCTAAAATTCTATGATATAGACTAAAAAGAAAGCAAAATTTCAAATTACTATGATCAGTCTCTTAATTTATGCCACCTAAAGGAAGCAAATCTGTATTTTTGTCTGACCCACACTTAAAATTAAGTTGTGAGTTTATTCACTGCTGGAGTACTGCCTCTAGGCAAGCAAAATCAAGTTAGATTTGTCTTCGACACTGAGCAGTATAAAAAGTTCACTTTTGAAACTAGAGCACATAGAAGACTGAATTGCAAATTAATGCAGCAAAGACGGTCTTTTATTATGAAGACTGCTGCTTATTTGCTGCAGAGTAATAGTATATGTTTGTGTTTTTTCTTACTGCGGCTCCTCATGCTCTGTCTTACAGTGGTTTAAAGTTGGGGGGGTTTTGCCTTTTTTTTTTTTTTTTAGCCTACTTGGAGAGCTGGTTCAGGTGATAAGGAAGGCTTTATTAGAAGAACCAGTTTGAGTAAAGATAAGACTGAGACTCACATGTGGAGTAGAATCATGTTTGATGTGTAATAATAACATTACATGATAAAAGGCTAAAAAAACCCCAACAAATCACACCTAAAAAACCCAGTGTGAAATAAAATTGTTAACCACATAGCTATTGTTTCTTACAGTATTGTACATTTGACAGTTTACCAAATCTGATATATTCAAAGGGCTCTAACCCCTGCTGTGGAGTCTTCAGCAAACAAAGTGTACCTGCTTAGAAAAGCATATACATGTGTATGTGCCTTGGTTTTTTTATCCTTAGCTATGTCATGGTTTAACCTCAGCCAGCA